CATCTGACTGATAGCCTGCAATTCAATTAATTTTCTTGGCAGAGCTCCACTGACAAATTGTTACCTCTCCCTAATCTGAAGGAAAGGCATTTCATTTCAAAGCAAAGAGCCTTCACTTGGCCACACTCTACCTTAGGTGGTGGTTTGCTTTATCACAGGGTAATTTCACCAGTTAAGCGAGCTAATACTTCATTTGGCATATAATTCGGCGGTTAAACGCCAGAGATTCTGAAATGACAGTTCAAAACATTTCTAATATGCAACCTTATGTTTGATCTTCACCTTCTACGGCCGCTTCTCCTTCGGGTGCAACCTTAAGCTGTAGCAGAAAACGTTATTTTATGATTGCCGCTCATTAGCTCCGTTCTCAACGGATTCACTTAGAACCATTGTACCTTTTTGTCTGATCCTTTGAATCATGTGAACTTATCTTCAGAGGCTATATGGTTATTGAAACATAAATGCACAGAAAATATAGTTCATTCTTTGTTTGACCTATATTGATAAAGATCTATCTAATGCCTGGTTCGTGAGGATGGATATGACGTGATCTGATAGATTGGACAATCCGTAATATATGTAACCCTGTTCAATAAGCCCACTACGAATATGCAAATGAAAAATCGGAACCAGTCATTGTTGAGAGGGATGAAAATAAAATGTACAAGTTTGGTTTGCGTTTCATGTGAGATATTTTTGATGGAGGGAACTATATTTTCTCTCTGTCTTTCTCCAACTTCTGAAATTATCATTCTAATGACGTTCACCTACTCCTTCAGTCAAGACTATAACCTGTCAACCGATTTTCAGTGACATTTGATAAAGTGAATAAATTTCAACGCGCTAGACATGGACATATTCATAGACCGATGTTCTCTACAACCATAATGAAGTATGCTAATTTGTGATTATCACTCTTCGGTGGCAGGCTCGTTTCAGGGCAAATTGTACGCTTGCAAGATTTAAAAACATACTCTGCATTGCTCTTTGATCTGAAGCAATTCTGTTTAGAGGAAGAACATGATAATCATAAGTCTGAACGAAAATTATACAGCAGCACTTTCCATATTAATCTCCCAAGGAAAAGCCATGAAAATTATTTCACGACGCTATGTAGACCTTTTGCTGGGGTGGAAACTCAGAGCAGTATTGAAAGAAACTAGGAACGACACTCAATGTCAGGAGTGAAATGTTGTGAATGAAGCAAAATAACATTCTTCGTTCCACTTAGTTGGTCAAGCATTGAAAATCCGCCATATTTAAGTCATCGAAATTGCTCATTTGCATTATTTATCATTTCAAAAGAGGATGACATTGGTGCTATCATTTTAACAGAATTAGCTCAAATTTTTGGTTAGATCTGAAACCCAGATGACCATAGTCCAATTTAGTAGACTGTTTTGAAATTCATAGAAAGCCAGTTTGGCTGTCGTGCTATAGAGGATACTTTTTCCTGACATTTAACATGAACCTCCGATTCCTTACATTTTTCGTCGCCTACTATTGCGGGCAAACATTTGCAGTATGAGTATCGCCCTTCGTGGATGATGCATCATATGAAGTCGACTGAAATACTTCAAATAAATGTAGACAACAGCTCTTTAAAGAACTGACGGTCGTCACACCATAGAGGTAATAACAATTGAAAATCTTTATCATTAAAGCAATGGCTAAAAAGTGTGAAGGTTGTAGGTAGAAAGCCTCTGTTTTATAATTTTATACCCTGCAATTTCAGAACAAGCTTTGACGGGCATTCATTTTTAAAATGAAGAAAACAATCATTTGTGGAATGGTCTGTGGAATTTTAAAATGCTACTTGCATCTGGTGCAAAATGAAAGATGAATCATCATAAACGATATAAAAAAATTACTTTGCTGCTCAGCTTTTGCATCTTGTCGTTTAGTTCCATTGCTGATGACGTAATTGGTTGAAAGAGTTTCAACTTTTTGTGAAAAACTCACTGCAATGTTTAACAAATAGACACGGGGTCAGTGATTGTTAAACATGGCTTGTAATGACGACACTGGTAACCTATTATATAATCATGGCTGGTTTGAAATGCAGCACAGAAAAAGTTTCATGTGCAATGCAATACAGTAGTTTGACTAAAGATCGAATATTTCGTTGGTCCAATGGTGATGATATCGAAAACAGCATAAAATACGACTTATTTATACACAGCGAGAACAGTCGGTCAGATGATTGATCCGTACCGATGTTTCAGTCCTTGCCCCAAGAACCTTCTTCGAGCTGGATTTATTTCGACGGTTCCATTTGAGGTACGCAGCTGGTCTAAGGTTTGCAACCAGAAGGGCCTTTTGAGTACTGACGCCTAGATCAATAGCTTAATCTTATTTGATCACATTTCTCATGTACATTTACAAAATTATCGCTATCTAATAAGTGGCTATTATTTTCTAAGGTATAGGGAACGAGTATCATTATGGCTCTACTTTAGAACATTTGCCAGCTGCTAGAAAAAACTTTCGCAATCAACCCACATCTCCACTTCTAGAAAAATCGATGATACACGGGTTGATACGTCGGTACCAGTCAACCGTCCGAATGACTACATTGATTGTGCTGTGCATAAATAAACC